GCTCTACAGAAAGGAACAGTTAATGATTACTTGTTTGATCAATCTTGTATGTCTCTATTTGTCTTCCTGAGAAACCACTTTGAAGATACCAATAAGTGATACAACAACCGTGGTTAATTTCCTACAACTTTGTCTGTAACTGTTTTGTTTGTGTTGTTCTTATGCTATTTTGTAACTGGATGTCTGTTAATGTTTTCCTTCTTTTATTTTTTTACATAAAGAACAAAAAAAAGAGAGTGTCCCACACTTGATACACAGCTGACATTTCTGCCTCCCCTCACATCCTCCCCGCCCTGTACTAAGCACCAAAAGCGTTCTTACTCATTAGGACAACCAGAAAATGCCTTCTGTCTTTCCAAATGCACTTCTCCCAAGTTGTGAACCTAATTATTGACACCTAAGTTTCTTTGGGTCTATTATTCCTTTGATTCTATAGTGGAACCCAGGAGGGTTGCAGCTATGTCTGTGAGATTAATGACGATGATAGTAGCGTTCACGGAGTACTTGCTGTGGATGCTGTGCTAGTGATGTGTGTAGATTACCTCATTCAATTTTAAAAGCAAGACTTTGAAATCGGTTTTATTAATATTTCTATTTTGCAGCTGAAGGCAGCAACTCTTAAAAAGAGAAATGTCTCAAGATGACACAGCTAGTATGCACTGGGTTTAGGATGACGATCTGATGATGAAGGCAAAAGGAGTGGGAAAGGGGGAAATAACATTCATCAGGGGACGGGATTTCATCAGCGGTGCAGCACGTGCCTGGCAGGCTCAAGGTCATGAGCTTGATTCCCGGTACTGGAAAACAAACAAACAAACAAACAGAATTCATCAAGTACCAATTCCAAGTGTGCTGTGAAGCCTACAGCCTGTCTCAATGCATCTCTTATAACAACCTTAAAGTCTGCATATTTTATTATCATGGTACAGGCGAGAAAGTCAGTATCAAAGTGGTTACAAACTTGGCTTTATTTCCTTTTTGCTTCCTGTTGTTTCTTCCATGAACAGCAGTAATCGGTCTTCTGTGAGGTTATTTTAAAAAGAGCTAAAAAATGGGTCCTTTCAGCTCCTAAGATGTGAAAATATGAATGTGGCCTCTTTCTTCCCCCTTCATTGGACAGGAAGTCATGAAAAGAATTAGAATGATGCTTAGTGGGAGTCTGTTGGTCTGTGGGTTTCATTATTTGCTCAGCAGACACTGACCTGGCTGTGTCTCCCTCTGCCTAAGTCTCCAGTCTTTCTTCTGATTCCTCATACTGACCGAACAGCTCTTCTCCGCCCCTTGAGTACTTAGGGAACGAAAGTTTGAGTGAGGTAGCCATGTTCTTTTCACATTGCAAACTGACTGTTGTGGACAGTAGTTTCCTTTTGACTGTATGTTTTTTGTTTGTTTGTTTGTTTTTGTTTTTTTCCGGTACTGGGAATCGAACTCACAACGTCACGCTTGCCAGGCAGGCGCTGTGCCGCTGAGCTAAATCCCCAGCCCCATCCTTTTGACTGTAAGGGATGAAACTCTACCTAATTATTTGTGCAGCATGTTCTTGCCGCTAATTGTAATTAAAAAAACTCATGCCATTGGCTTATGGCTTTCTGTGGCAATGGCTCCGGATAACTGATCAGACAGCAGGTGATGCACAACTAAATCACCACCAAATCGCTCAGCTGCGTGCCTTCTCCTTGGCGGGAGGACGGATGTGATAGGTATCCCGTTCCGGAGCACATTCTCTTTCCAGGCTTGGAGAATGTCCAGATGGAAATCACTTCTACTTGAAGTCTGTGGGACAGCACTTTTAAACTACGGAAGCAGGATCTGCATTTGTGTAGCATCGCTCAGGCGCTAGAGTTTGGAGCTCCCCCATAGGTTATGGGAGAGCCTTTGCCACAGCCGTCCAAGGAAGGGACACACTCCCTTACTTTGACAGCAGGAGTGTCTGAGTCAGGCTGGTGTGGCAAAAGACATCCTCCATTTGTGGCGGTAAGGGCCGCACTAGAAACTATTATAGTCAAGAGATGGAGCCCAGGGCAACACATGCCAAATGTTATACAGCTGATAAGCAGCAACAGCAGGAGCCTCAGACCACGGTCTAGGGATTCCCTGACTTCTAGTCTACTATAGCAGTGCTTTGTGAACCTTACTGTGCACACTGACAAAGAAAAGGAATTACTCTGGAACTTGTTAAAATGGTAATGAAGGTTTTATTCAGGACAATTGCAAGAGAGGTGTTAGAACAGAGAAGAGATATTGGACTCAAGTCCAAATACAATGAAGACAAGGGGATTCGTAGGCAAAGGGGAGAGGACACTGGGTGGAAAAGTACTAAGAGAAGACACTAGGGGAAGGGGAATTCTTTCTGAACTGACTTGCCGGGTTTCCTTCTAATGGAAAGCTAAGAGTTTATACAGGAAGGTGGGGTATAGGGAACACAATCACCTGTCAAGAGTGGAGACATTTTCTCTAAAGCAATTCTCTCTAAAGCAGGATTTTTGCTGCAACTGGATTAGGCGGGCCAAAGATAAGTCAATCTTAGGTCAGAGGAGCCTAATTAAAGTTTACTCAGAAAAGTTTTTGTCAATGGAAGCGAGCCGGGGTTGATGTCAGATTAGTCTGATTCACTGAGTCTGGTGCTGCACTTTAGCCGAACCTTTGTATCTTTTATAGATCTCGGGAGATGCCCAGGCCTAGGACTTAGGGCCACATTTTGAATAGCAAAGTGTTAGAGTACATTAGCACACATGATCCCAGACCATTTAGTTCTTTAGTGATAGGAACACAGTTTTGGTCACCTATGCTTTTGTTAGGAAAGCAGCAGACTAGCTCAATACTCTGTCCTAGACTTGCCTTTTCCTTCTTTTCTTTTCTGTTTTTCTTTCTCTCCTCTCCTTTCCCCTCTTACTTCTTTCTTCCCTTTCATTATACTCAGAATGCTAGACCCACAGGTCTATAAGTGCTTCATGATTTAACTAGAAGGTGTCTATCAACAATGCTCGGGATTAAGATGAACACTACTCTCAGATGAAGGAATATTTTCGCTGTGATTCCTAGGCAACGTGTGCTGTTGGTGCCCTGTCCAAGTCAATCTATGGAAGGATGTTTGAGTGGCTGGTGGCTCGAATCAACAGAGCTCTGGATGCCAAGCTGGCAAGGCAGTTTTTCATTGGCATTCTTGACATCACTGGTTTTGAAATCCTTGAAGTAAGTACATGTGGGAAGAATGAAGCCAATGCATATTTATGAGTTTAGAAAATGTGACTTGAACATGGAAAAATAAGATCAAAGCATTATAAAAAACATTGAGTCCAAACCCAGGGGCTGTTTTGGTCAGAAAAGAGCTATAAGTAATATTAATAGTAATAGCTATTACTATACTTAATGTTAAAAACTTAACTTCTTAATTCGGCCCTAAAGGTGAGCAGAGGTAAATAACTATTTTGTGATTCTGAATTATAATTCTATTATGTGTTATTTTACCACAATAATCTTTAGTTTGTAGATATACCTGAAAGAGACACAAAACTAATTTGGATTTTTTTTACTGGTTGGGTCTATTTGGCATCATATGATTTGATTATGCTTTTATCTTCAATATGTATTCTAGCAAGTGAACCTCTATTTTCATCTCTTCTTCCTACATATTCATGTCTTTGAAGTGTAATAGCCTTGAGCAACTGTGCATTAATTTTACCAATGAAAAGCTACAGCAGTTCTTTAATCAGCACATGTTTATTCTGGAGCAAGAGGAATACAGGAAAGAAGGTATTGGCTGGGTGCCCATTGACTTCGCTCTGGATTTGCAAGGCTGCATAGATCTCATTGAGAAGGTAATGCATGATGTTTTCTTGTCCATCTTCATTTAAGGAACATTGTCTCTGCGTACCTTGTTAACCCATATCAAGAATCAGCTTTTGTCAGGAACGGGAAATGGGGCAGGCAAGCCCTGCAGGCTTGCTCTTTATGCTCTGCGTGGGCAGCACCAGGCATCCTAGATAAGCTCTTACATAGATCGCCCTATTCCAGCGTCTCTAATGCAGACTGTCACTGCACATTTGCAGCTTGCAAAGCCTCCACCATTTGTGAATGAGGGTATTTGATGAGATTAAAAATGGCTACGCTCTTAACTAGCAAAGTCACAGAGCTGAAAATCTGAGCTCTGTAAGGCCTGCCTGGTTAACATAAGGTGAATGAGTAGATCCAGAGGGGCTTCAGGAAATCTGACAAATTAGCATGCAAAAAACACGACTGCCATAAATCCTCCAGGCCACCACCTCGCAGATACAGTTCATTCATTTAATTGGACAAATGCCAGTTAGCTTTAATAATTTTTGACAATATTTCATGGCTTATTAATAAATTAGCTACAATGTAGATTTCTGAATTTAGTGATGTTGCTGTACTCTGAAATCCCTCCCTGTGCTCTGGGAAAGATTCATGGTGTTTTCTGGAGGAGTTCTGTGTGGTTTTTTTTTCCTGTAGCTTCAGGTACAGGAGCAAGCATGGTAGGACGCCACAAACTGCCCCGCATTTCTTGCTATAATCATAAATTGCAGTGAATAATAGAGATAAGCCTGGACAGTTAAAGCCTTACATCTTTTGCAAGTTTTTTTGCTAAAGTGTCACATTTTATTCTCCACAGCCTGGTCAGGAAGGGACTAGGGGCTGACCTGCCATTGCCCTCTGCAGGCTTCAAGTTTTATCAACGAGTGTCATATCAATTTTATTTTTTAAGTTTTAGGTGAAACTAAACCTTTGTCTAAATTAACTACTATCCTTAACAGAAATAAATATCCCATTACTTCTACTTACTTTTTAGCGAGTGAACTTCCTGGGAGGAAGGTAAGGTAAGAAAAAAACATATGATAATGAACCCACTATGAGCTATTTAAAAACAATAATAAATAACCTACTATGATCTGGTAAACATTTTGTGACATTATAAAAGTTGTGGTTTTTGGATTAAAAAGAAAAGAGCTGGAGGTTCTCAGAAGGACAGATTTAACTTCTGGGCATGGTAATGTGTGGTATCTGCTTGCTCTATGCCAAAATGCTATTTTCTAGTGTAGAAAGTTGAGACATAGAGACTGTTCTGATAATGATAGGTTTGGGAACATTCCTGATTTTTTTTTCACTTTATCTGAATGCTATTGCTGTGTTTACGCCACCCTTAGTTAGAATACAGTAGCAAAAGGCTGTAATTTCCTGTTGTATTTTCTACTGATAAATAAAATGGGAAAAGATTACGACCAGATGGTAGAAGGCAGACGCAAGTCTTTCTTTTCCTAGAAACATTTTCAGAGAAACTCAAATCAGATAAATGAATAGCAAAACTTTTCTTGAAAAGATTTTTTTATTTAAAAAATCCATTCCATTGATTTGGGCTCTATGAAGAAAACTTGTAGTTAATGTTAATGATCAGAGTTAGTCCTTGCAACAGAATGAGTCATGGAAAATTTTTAAAATTCAGAAGAACTAAAAGATATCCATAAGCATAAAATATCTTAAAGCATGTATATTCTGTGTATGCATAAGGAAAAGGAATTTTCTCACATAAATGTTTTATATTTTAAAATTTACAAAGAGTTTATCATACTGAGTTAATAAAATATGTTTTAATATCATCTTTAATTGTTTTTTGATTGTTTGTTTTTTTCCGGTACCGGGAATCGAACTCACAACCTTGCGCTTGCCAGGCAGGCGCTGTGCCGCTGAGCTAAATTGCCAACCCCTATCATATTTAATTGTCAGTTTGGTCTTCAGGCTCACAGTGACCTCTTTCTATATATTTCTGTGAGCAAATCTGTTCCAGGATTAGCTTATTTGAAATATTCTAGTTTGTTTAGAATTTGAGTCAAAATTTACATGTTAAAGTATTACTGTAAGATTATATCTTTATGACTATATGCAAGGCATTGGTAAAGAGATTATTCCTGTTAGTTCTTAATAAATATGCTCCAAATTATTCATCTAAAAATATGTCTCTCCTTCAGTGTAGGAACCTTGAAAGATTATATCCTTCTTCCAATGACAGTTTTTTAAAAATTCCTTTAGAGGACTGGGATAAGATTTTAGAATTTTATATCAGCCTCAAGAGAAAATTCACCTCAGTACTTATCATCTTACTAGACTTTGAGTCCAAACTATGTTACTTCCTGGATCATATTATTCCCCTTATTTGCCTGAATTGCCCTGAATAGTTTGATTATTTCCATAAGCCATCAGATAGCTGGAATTTTCCTTGTGTGATATCAAATATTCCAAATAAAGTTCTGACATAGTTTAAATCCTGGTAGCATCTTAGCGTTAAATAAATGTTGTTGCTTCCCAAGCAAAGTTTTTTGGATGTGCTGTGTTGGAAATGTTTAATATAAAATGGCTTGTATTAATCTCTAGCTGTATCTTGTATGCATGTGTGTATTTTCTTTAAACACAAAACTCCATGCTTTTTGTTGTTGTTGTTGTTGTCATCAATTCTCACTTTTTGTTTACTGCCAAAAAGCAAAGTAGCCAGGTCCCAGAGCTGAAACTCGTTTGCATCTGAACAAGTGGTGTCCACGCATAAATCACGTAGAGGTTTGCTGAGAAGTACACGTTAGTCACCTCTGGGCCTACGGTACGAAGGGTTATGAGGAGCACAAAGCCCAGAAAGAAATCACTCTGTCACGTTACGCCCTCCAGGGACTTATGCTGTAATTAGAAAGATGTATTAAAACTGAAACTTTTATTATTTCTTACATTGTTAAACACCTAAATTGGTTTAGCCACTACTCGTCTTAACTGCTTCCTCTTCACCCCATTAATGAGGGAAGGATTCCTGCTCCACAGTTGCGGGGATGGCTAAATGTATGACGTCGAACACTAGACAGATGAGATCAGTATTTTATTAGCCATACACGCTCATATCCCCAGGGAGGTAGATGCCCTGTACCATGCTGGGCCTCATGAGAGTTGCACTCAAAATAAAGTTAATAAGCAGGGGCTATGGGAGGAAGGATTCGTTGTAGGAGTAAGGTGGGGTGACCTAAGTTCCCACAAGAGGATGTGATGCATGTCTGAATAGGTGCACAGGCTGACAGGGATTAAAGCGCCCTCCTCAGGGCTGAGGAGGTATGGTTGGGTGCCAAGTGTGGTGTAGACTTTGTGTATAAAAGTTTGAAATAAATACTGTAGAAAATGCAAACGTGCTATAAACAGTTTTTGCCTTTAGAAAGTATCCAACCAAATAAAGGATTTATAAGACTCGTACATTTAAAATGCATTTAAAAATCATCACATACATTATAAATACAATAAAAGGAACAGACAAAATGGGGCCAAAGTAATCAAAAGAGCAGAAGTCATCTCTCCCTGTAGGCATCGAGGCAGGCCTTTAGGCAGGGGGATAAAATTTGGGCTGGATCTTAAGGAATGGATAAAATTTCAGCAGCAAAGGTGAAAAGGTAACAGACTGAGAAGACAGGCAAGAGGAAACAGTAAAGCAAGGGACTTGTTCTGAGAGTCTGGGCAGTCTAGCTGAAGCAGAGAATGTGAAGAAGGAAATCCCTAGAATAAGAAAGCCTGGGATAGATCATGAAGGGCTTTAACATGTGTCTTATTTTAAAGTAATGAGAGCCAAAGAGGGTTCTGAGATGGACAGTCGGGAAATCAAAACTGTGAACATTTGAACTGGTCATTTCTATGTGACCTCAGGAAGGGGAAGAGGGACTTAAGAAAGATGACAGCTGCCCCTGGTCATTCTCTGTCTCTTTGCGTGATTTTTTTTTCAGTTCACTTATGGGAAACTAAGCTATTTCTTCTTTCTAGTTTTTTGTTTACTTGCCTATTATCTTTCTGGTCCTCTAGAATGCAAACACTCAGAACAGTACATACCCTGTTGCTACATCACCAGCCCCTGCCGACACGGTGTCGCTATTGAACTGTATGATAATAGTGTCAGTATTAAAGTGCAGGGACTTAATGAGTATTTGTTAGTGGGCAGCTGGCTGGTTAGATCCCGTGACTTTCTTCTCTTTGGCTACACATCATGTTCTTGAGAAAGAATTTATACCGATCCTCTACTACAACTTTTCTGGTGTTTATAAAAATCTGCCACTGTTCTGCTCCTCCAGCAGCCCATGGGCCTCCTCTGCATCCTCGAAGAGGAATGTATGTTTCCTAAGGCTACAGACATGACTTTCAAGACAAAACTCTTTGACAACCATTTTGGAAAGTCAGTTTATTTCCAGAAGCCCAAGCTTGATAAGAAAGAGAAATACGAAGTTCACTTCGAACTTGTCCATTATGCAGGAGTGGTAAGTGACCTCTTGTACCCCCAGACTTGAGTCTTCTTGGTTCTTTCAAATGCACCCAAAGTCCTCAGATAATATTTAAGTAAAATGTAGAGTAAAGGAAGAGATGAACAAAATACAGAGAAGTTCCAGACAAAAGATAGTGAGCCTTTTACGAGTCAGTAAAGGAAATACCCATACTATAACAGCATCCCGTTGCGTAGACATCAAGCGTCTAGAAATTGGATGGCATCAATCTCGAAGCAGGATGGCAACAGAAAGGCAGGAGCGCTATCAAAGTCGTGCTTTTCCTTTATTCATCTTTTTAACTCAGTGTGTGAATTAATTATTTCAACTGATATTTATATTGAGGAGTTTTGTTTTGTTTTTGTTTTGTTTTCAAGAGAAAGATTGAGTGAGAAGTAATGGTCTCCAAACCATGGCCAACAAAAGATTTTAATGACCTGATCATCTCTCATTTCTTCAGTGGGGAGTGTGTGTGTGTGTGTGTGTGTGTGTGTGTGTTTTCTGCTTCTAGGCAGTGGTTGTGCATGGAAGAGAAAGAAAATTGATAAAGGATAAAATAATATGTCAGCTTAAAAATGACCTGCCCACTGTGCCTTAGAAGGAAACTGTCAACTAAGAGGAAAAACTTTTAGTTCTTTCCTTTGATACCCAGGAATATTAAGTAAAATGATTCCATAGTAAATACCATTACAGTTGCTAATGTTTGTCAGTGCATACTGTGTGTCAGGGGCAGTTAAGTTATTTAATCAATTACTGCCCTGAAGAACTACTGGGATCCATTGTTTTTAAAGAAATCACATTGAATCCTCCCTCCTTCTCTCTTCGTTTTCCTCCTCTTCCTCTCTCTGTTGTTCTCCTGTTACCCCATCTCTTTCCACACTTCCTTCCTCCACCCTTCTTGTTTCTTCCTTTCTTTTCACCCTATAAAAGTGAAAGCTTCAAAATCTCTTTGGTTGACACTATGGATTTCGGGAGTATTATTCAGCACAATTACTTCAAACTTGTTTAAAATGGAAGAACCGACACGTTTTGTGGGTTTTTTTTTCCAGGCACACGTAATTTCCTATGTTAATTTACATACGTTCTCCTTCTTTATGAAATGCATGCCTTTCCAAAGGTGCCTTATAACATCAGCGGCTGGCTTGAAAAGAACAAAGAGCTTCTTAATGAAACAGTGGTGGCTGTGTTTCAGAGAGCTTCCAACAGATTCCTGGCGAGCCTTTTCGAAAATTACATCGGTGCTGACAGCGGTGAGTCAATATTCCTTGATTTTTCAGCTTGCTAATGGAACTCATTAATACCTCAGGTTTTACACAAATTCTTGCTCTTTTCCTGTGATACTGTTTCTGCTTCCTGTGGTCTGAGGCATCCCACCACCCCAATATTAGGCTTTTTGTTCTCAGGCTGGTGGTTTTTGCAGGAAAATGACATCTGTGTACTATGAGAGACAAATTTCAAGGAGTCCGTTTCTGGCCTGCTTTTGCCTTTTTCTAGACTTAGGTAAAAGAGACAACAAAACAAAACAAAACAAAACAAAACAACAACAAAAAACCCAGGTTTTAATGTATAGTTTGGGGGCAATAATAATTCCCAAGTACATAGGGTAAATGACAAAACTGCAACAAAACTAGTTTTACAGATCTTAATTGGCTTATGATTCTAGAAGCAGGCAAAAATCTGGTTGAGGAAAACAGTTTATAATACTCTCATCCACCACATGAACAGGTTGCCTTTCTACCCAAAGGAAATGGCACGTGGAGAAAGGGAGCAAGGTACACAGACAGCCTCGCTGCTTGTAGGTCACATCGATTTGATTTGAACACAGTTTGAACAGCTTGCTGGTGGTGTTTGCATAAGACTTCCCTATTTGTTTGATGTGTAGGATACAGTTTGTTTTTACATCAACTTACAGTTCATTGTGTACAGAGAAAGCTGCAAGCCAAACTTAAAAGGTATGGAGGCAGATTTAGGCCAAACTTTGTGGTGTGGGGTGTGTGTGTGGTGTGTGTGCATGCATATGTGTGCATGTGTGTGTATTTTAAATACACATTCCCCAGGTAACTTGGAATGCTCCTTCACAATGCTCTGCACACTGGGGTTAGTATAAGCTTCTTGAGGGCAGAGACTATAACTGACTCATCTGCCATATTCATTTGCGATCTCTGTAGTGCGGGGAATGCCTACTTAAGAGGAATTCCTTAGGTATTTACTGATCAACTTAACAACTAATCTTGTCAACTACTTTGTCATACACAATGTACTTTTAGATAGTTTATCTTATTTATCCTTGCATGACCCATGCAGCTATATACGAGGAGACTTCGTCCCTATCTTACAGGAGCAAATACGGATGAGTTAAGAGTGCCATCTCCAATTTTATAGATCTACTAAGTGGCACAGTCCACAGAGAAAGCAAGAATTCTGTTTCCTGATCTATGGTCTATTCTATGCTCCCGTCTTCCAACAACAAAGAGAACAAAGAGATAGACACTTTTGGGATTCATGCATTTAGGATTCGACATATATCTCTGTATCATTTTTCAGTGGATTTGAAGATACTGAGCCTAAGTCGCTAACACCAGCCTCCCAGCTGGGTTAACCACAGAGGCAAGCTCTCTATTATACAGCAAAGATCGCAAATTCACAGCTATTTGAGTACTACCTGGGCTTCCAACATGTTTTATTTGGTCCAAACAAGGGTTTAAAAACAAATCAAAGGATTTCCACATGTACCTGTGGGTTTCCTTTTTTCCTTTGAGAATGAAAATTATGGAAAAATGAAAACTTGATCACCTGTGTTCAGATTCACTCTGCAGTAGGGCATGTACCTCAGGTATTCTTTAAAAAAGGGCTGCACACTCACTTCCTAAGGTCCTCCCTCCCCTTTTTGCCTCACACTGTGCGTGCTGTTAATCCCAGTTCCTGGTGGGATTATCTGGGACTCCTGATTGACATGGTTAGGGAATGGAGAGAGAAATTAGCCCTTCCCAGAATCTTCAGCACATGAGGACACAATTCAGAAGTGTTGTTGAACTCCTCTGGGCTTGGCACAAGAGGAGGTAAGACGTGGAAATGCTGTGTTTGAACTCTGCTAATCTTCAGGGAGTTCATTCACCTGACTTTCATATCTTCTAACGTGCCTCTGAGAAGTCTGTTATGTAGTAATCACACAAGTTTTATGGCTCCCAGTTGAGTAATGTTCTGATCATAAGTGCTCAAGAGTGAATTGGGCAGAGAATAGAAAGAAAATTGTCTTTTAACTCTTCAGGATGTATGCTGTGTCTTAGGAACTAGATGGGAATTTTCCAGAATGCCTTCATGCCTTTTTATTCGATATTTCTTTCTTTAAGCCATCCCTGAATCTATAGTTGGAGATAGCTGTTTGCCTCCAAGTTTTCATTCATCTAAACATTAAATTGCCTGTGATAGCCCATACTTTCTCCTAGGAAAACCAAGTGCTTTAAGCCTCAGGTATTGTTCTTTTAAATTACAAAATGCACTGTTATTTCTTTTTATTTATGGAAAAGATTAAAGTATAGAAAGGTCAAACAAAGCACTTGTGGCCTCCAGAAGGACACCAGTGATTGGGTGTCATGACATCTGCCTCCCCACAATGGCTATGCAGGCCCAGAGGACACTTTTTAGTTTCCCATGTTAGTAGTTGGCTCATTTTCTCCAGATTTCCTATGGATTTTGTCTTTGTTGCTGTACATTTTAGTTAGTTAGCACTGCATGAATGTTTGTAAGACAGTTTGACTTAGCATGGTTTCTTTTGCTTAAAGGAAAAAAATAAAAAAGGAAGGCTTACTTTTTAAATAAACCATGAAAGCAATATTATTGTGAGAAATATCAGATAATATAGAAAAATTAAAAAGAGGAACATAAACATTACCTATAATCTTACATAGAGAAATAACAGCTATTAACTATTAACAAGTCTCTCCAGATTATTTTATGTTTACGGTAACCCTCAACTCAGCCAGGCTTGAAAATTATGTGCACACTCAGGATCATAATTAGTAAAGTACAGGTTTTATAATCTACTTTTCTGGTAAAATAAATTCTAGAAATTTGTCTGTATTATTTATATAGATCCATGGCATCATTGTAAAAGTTGATTGATTCAGTTCCTGTCCAGTTCAGTTTGTGACCAGAATTGTGGAAAGAATTATGTTTATGAATTATGTTATGCCACTGTATTTCCTTCTATAAACATTTCTTATGTTTTAATTAACGAAGTTTCTACTGATGGACATTGTTGATTAATTTTATTCATGACTTTTTTTTTGCAATCAATAGTTAATGCTTCAGGAGTATTTTTCACAATTATCTGATTATGTCCTTAAGGAGAAATTCCCTAGACATTTTGTGGTGAGATATAAATATTTTTGATGACTTCAGTAGACATTGCCATATTGTTTTCAGAACTTTCTTGAACTTATGTTTCCATGGTGACAAAAGAAGTTTTTAAAATACCTTCTTTTATTGTTTAAAGCTCTACAGTTTGGGGAGAAGAAACAGAAGAAAGGATCTTCATTCCAATTGGTTGCATCTCTTCATAAAGTAATTTTCAATTGTATCTGTTTCTATATTAACTGTTGTACAATCATTCTTACTTATTTGATATTTCACCTTTCTAAATAAAAATAAGGTATCTGAAGTTATCCAAGGTGGAAAAGTTGAAGTTTATATTGGTACTAATTCAAGACTTTAGAGGACACTGTTGGTGCCCTAGCTAGCTTTTCTCCATCAGTTCTGCACCCATCTTTCAGCTGATGTAAACATTGGCTCATAACATTTCCCAGGTGCAGAATTGCCTTTGATCAGATGGGAAGCAAAGCTACTTCCTTGCCCTGCTCTGCAACCTTTGGCCCTCCCTTTGCCTCAAGAGGGGAGCAACTGTTGTATAATTGGTGCATTTGCACTCTCAGGTCATGTAGGGATCAAATTCAAGCTGAGTCAGCACCATTGCTTTTTTTTTTGTCCCTTTACCCACTGTGCTTCCTTTACTGTCCAAATACATCTTTTGAATCAGAATCCCCTGCTTTTAGAGAATCTGGCCTAAAATAAAGTTTTTCTACAAATAGAAAACTCAAAAAATGATTTTTTTCTGAGCCATTTTATTGGTTAGCCATAATTTAACACTATCAAACTCAAAACAGGGGAAGTGGTTTGCAGTTGAGGTATGTCTGTCAGATAAATATTGACTTGTCATAGGAAAGAAATAGTGTTTGTTTGGTAAACAAGGGATAATGTGGAATTCATCTTTCTACTGTTGGTGTATGGGTTGGATATGAGGTAAAGAGATTTAGATACATTCATAAGACACTTTAGTGACATTGCAAAATGATTTGGGGTTTATTATGGTCTCCATTTTAGGAAAATCTCAATAAATTGATGAGTAAGCTGAAATCAACGGCACCTCATTTTGTGAGATGCATAAAGCCCAATGTGAGCAAAATACCAGGTAAGAATTAGATTTGTTTTTATTCCACCCTAGAAAGTGCATCTTATTTCAGCTATGTTGAATGTCATTTTATGAACCATTCACTGGTTCCTTTTCTATAAGCATATATTTTCAGTTAGGAAAATGAAATTAAACTCAATGTGAGCTCTTTGGAACCGCCTCAAAGCTACTTTTGAATTGAGATTCAAATGGACATACAGAAGGATTTCATAAAGCAGCCTCAATTGGGTAATAACAGGAAACTTGATATTTACGCTTAAATTTCTCCTTAAATTGGATGCTGAAATGTGAATGAGATCCTATGCTGTGTTTAGAAGGGCAGAACACAGTAAAAAGGGATTGAATAACCAGGTAGGCGGTTGAGATAGATATTTCAGCACAAGGATGCTATTTGGCCTGAGTCACCTGAATTTACCATGAGGATGGCTTCTCGTCCATTTCTGACTGTTAAGAGCTCCTCTTAGTCTTCCTTCCCAGTGCTGACATCTCTTTCCCTGGTAAAACCTACACATTTAGTTATGCATTCTGAGCAGTAGATTGTTTTTTGGTGAATTAATGATGTTAAAGTGATGATGGGATAGGAAGGTGGTAGTGAATTTATTTTATCTGCTGTTAATTCTCAAAACAATGTTTTACTGATATCAACTACATAGATTGCTTTCCTTACATCATGGATTTGAAGACTCCTAGTCTTCTGTGGAATGAGAATTCTCCATAGAGCCCTGGTTAGAGGTATCAGCCTCATAGAAGCACATATAACAAGCACTGAAATCTTTAGAGCACTAACCACCCTTGGAGTGGTTGGAGTACAAAGCCAGATATGGCTGATTCTCACTTCTGTAGCTTTGTATGTCCTGCATTTTATTACCCTGTTATAACTAAGAACCCAAGCTGGATTGCCAGTGACTTGTTTTGAGAAAGTGTGATGCTAAACAATGATGCAATGATTGCCATTTTTATACTGTGAACATTTCACTTTTATCCATGAGTGTATGTTTTTGCCTCACTATTTATTGTCAGTTATCTGGGTTTCTGGATTTGCTAATTTTTTAGTCTGGGGAAATAACCTAGAGCTTCAGACCTGCTAGGCAAGCACTTTACTACTGAGCCACGTTCCTGCCAACCCTCAGCTGGATTTCTGAATGTATCTAGGGACACTGCCTTCATCTAGTAAGGAATCTAATTGTCTACCTTTACTTTGGAACACTTCTGGTACCTATTAGTTACCTTCCATTGAGTCAAATTCAATTTCAATAGTTTTTCAAAAAAAGCTTCATCATCTAATCAAGACAATTCTTCATACATATTTAAAGGAAATAAACGTGTTTGATTTTAAGGTGTCTGAAGACTCTACTTTTCCCCCTTGTTATGCGTGATCTATTTCTGCCTATGAAAGGAATCAGAGTGCAGGTACAGATGGCTTAAACGTATTTCTGTGATGCTAGATGTAGCAGAGCAGGCCTTTGTACTTCTTGTATTCTTCCAGATGACTTGCTGGAAGCCAGATACAGCGGCTGCTCTGGTGGTTTTCCAAGAGATTCTATCAGAGACTGCAGCTGACAGTTGTAAAAGGGCTTTTTTTGACGAACAAAGAAGTGACAGAAGGTTGCCTATACTATGGAATAAAACTGAAGGGATGTCAACATAATAAGCAGAGAATGCAGGCCAGGATGTGGCCAGGTTCTTCTAGGCAAAATTGTAAACAGAATTTTGTGGGTTTTCCCTACCTTTTTGTTGCCCCCTTTTGTTCCATTCGCCCTACCTGGGTATATAAGTTCCTTCTCATGTTATTCCCCTCTCTACTTCGTTTCTGGGTGGCAGATGGATATGATCCCAGCATTCACAAACCAGCAAATATGTAAGCATTTTTATCCAGGAGTACTTCTTTATACAGTCTTATTTAACTGTGAGCTCGAGGGCTTGACAAAAATTTCTTGACAAAGAAATTTTTGGTAAGTTATATTTAGATGCTCTTGGATAGTTGGGTGGCTATGTGACTGCTATCAGACTGGGAGTAAATGAACTCCTATAACCTATCACAGAAAGCGCACGTAAATCACACTAATACTCTTTAACTCAAGAGAGAGCAATTAGAACAAAATCTGGGGTGATAATGTTTTGAGGCACAGATTCAATGTGATTCATTTTTTCAGGCATAATAGACCCTGCCTTCGTTCTACAGCAGCTGCGGTATAATGGTGTTTTGGAAGGGATTAGGATAAGCCGTGAAGGTTTTCCAAACAGAATGCTGTATGGTGATTTTAAACAAAGGTAAACATACATTCTAGATGCCAAAAAGCCCGAAGCATTCCATTCTGATTTTCTTTCTTTCTCAGTGTTTGGGGATGCACTGTTTGGTTAGTGTCCTTCAGACTGCAAATCGATATGTTTTGGTGGTGGTGAAATATATAATGCTATATCGTGACTGAGTTTTACTACGGTTTTCCCTTAAGTCTGATATGTACACCACTGTAATATCCTTAAATCTCCATTAATGGCTAATAGATGCACATATAGATGAAATATAGACAGAACAGAGATGAGGAGCCCTAATTGCATCTCTGAGCTGCTGTATATCTTAATGGTTGCTGCCACCCAAGCAGGCTGTCCCTTCCCTCGGAAGGTGTGAAAGGAGAGAAAGCGGCACTGTGTGTGGAAGGAGGCAGGGGAGGAAGCTTTGCTGCATCTTTTCCAAATTCTAAAAGTGTAAATCATACTCATGAACTTGAGCAAAGCGTAGAGTTTAAAGCACACCTGTTTAGGAATTAAAAGTCACTTATTTTTTGCCAACTCACTCTTAGTGTGAAGAAATTTTGGAGAAGAAATTTTGTGTCTCTGCTCTTCAATTTCCTTACCCACATGGGAGAAATACTTAGGCTTGCCTTCCTGTCCGTGTTTTTCCTGTCAACCCCTCAATTTCTAATGGAGCAGTAATTAAATGGAATTGATCTGTAAAACAACATGAGAAGTACAAACACTTACACCAGTAGCGGGGCTTACTGCTTACATTTGCATTCCTGTTAGCAAGAATTTTGGGAAAATTAGACGTATTGGTGGGAGAGGTACATATCTGTATCCTCTTTCACGTTATTGGTCCAGATTAATTTTCATTGAATCATGAGATCCCCTGATCCTATTTTAAATTAGGTTCCGCATTTTGAACCCAAGGATCTTTTCAGAGAGCGAGGTTGTGAGTCACAAAAAAGCCACTGAAGAACTGCTTGGTTCCTTGGAGGTAGACCGTGGCCAGTACCAACTTGGAGTCACTAAGGTAAATAAGAAATTTCAAGGAATGCATTTGGAGAAAAGCTAGTGTGTCTCTTAAAATAGCCATGAACCTTTGCATAATAATATAAGGTATACTTTAGATCTTAAGACCAGAAATAGGATAAATGGAGATAATTTCAAAGTAGAAACTTCAGTGCTGTTTGAGAAAGAATATCCAATGCTTCTTAAGCCTCAGTCTGACTTCATTTACATTTTTTTACAATTACTTATCTAAGCAGATTTGTGACATATAAAAATACAGGGTCAGCCTTATAGTACTAGGAAATTTATATAAATCACGGCAAGAAAAATGGGAACCAGCTTCCTGGAGTTAACCAATTGAAAACTAATCCATCCATTGTACTCTTTTAGGGAATAAATTTTAGAAGACTATCCGAATTATTTAACGACTTTAAAGTCAACCCAACTATCCAAAAAAAAAAAAAAAAAAAAAAAAGAAAAATAACCCAAAGCAAAATTACTTTAAACGTGATTCTCTAAATTCTACTTTATCTAAAAAACTCATGTATTTTGGGGAACTTCTCATAGATGTACTCTTGCCCAGTGGTCAACATCAGGCTATTCCTGCTGACATCTATATCACTATGGATGAAGATGAATAGGAGGAACCAAAGTGAAGAAATCACAGAAAAAGTGCTCTGTGTGATTTGTTTATAAAAATGTGACTTGACTCATATTTTGGGTGCCTGGAAATCACTGTTTTTGTTTGTTATTTCCAGTGATTTTCAGTAATGGTGCCTTATATGTTTACTTATTTTTGCTATATACCACTCACTGGGGCCAGAACTCACACGGAGCAAGTGAGGGTCATAAAGCACATATAGCCAGGGCGTATTCACACTTAGGCTTATGCATATGGGGGGAGGCTGTGCAAACACCGAGGGGATACAACTTACTCTCAGGGCTGGTAAAGGACCTTTGGGGAGGCTCTCTGCATGTTCCATGATATATGGACTCCAGTATCCTCACTCCTCTCACCTTTGTTGTTATTAATTACTTTTGAAAAAAGTTATATCACATCTTTGATGCCTAGGACAAAGGTACTTTTTTCTAGAGCAAAGCCAGAAAACTATATTAGAAGGACCACATCATGATCTAGTTTTTAAATATTTCTTGTTTGCTTAAAATCTTAAGGAGTTGTTAAAAAATAGGAATAGTCTGTAGGATTTAACATTACCCTCATTACCTGGAGATATGGATGCTATGGCTCTTTGGAGAACAAGCTCATGGACCCCTTCCAGACACTTTGGAGCAATGCATGCCTAGGTGCATCCTAAAACTTAAACTGTATTATTTAGACATTTGAAATAAATAAGAGGAAGGATAGGGTAGGTTATTAACCAGTCAACCCAACACAAGATAAAATAACATGTCCTTTGCATATTTTAGATTTAGAAAACCATATTTTCCAGGACACTGATTTTACACATTAAATAAAACCTGAGGAAAGAAAAAGAATTGATACTGTTGTCCCCCAAGTAATTCAGTAGCACAAAACACTTAACCAATACTTGCATGATACTTAGGATGAGTGAAACTAATACCTGACTTGCTGCTTTTAGGTGTTTTTAAGAGCTAGCTTTTTGAGTCAATTGGAAGAAAAGAGAGACGAGAGACTGTCCAGAGTCTTCACTTTACTCCAAGCCAGAGCACAGGGCAAACTGATGCGGATCAAATTCCAGAAGGTTCTCAAAGAAAGGTATGGTGTCTCTACCCTCTGTCACTACTGCTGGAGGAATGGATGTCTGAACTAATGCAACCTTACCTCATTGCCTTACAGTAGGCTGACAAAGAGCTCCTCCTTTGCTTAGGCTGTCTTATATACTTTTTTTTAAATCATGGCACACTGAAAAAGACAGAGTGCAAAGAGTGTTATTGCCTTATCCAGCCAAATATAATCATAATTCCCATGCCTCTACCTGCCCTTTGGGAGGGATTGTTTCTCACCTACAGGTGTGGATCTGTGAAGGTGATGACTTGGTTTAAAGCAGAGCATGGTTTCTCTTATCTGAGAAACACAAACAAAATAGATCAGAGATAAATAGGAAATAGGGAGAAATTTGAATATTTCCCCAAACTAGAAATTCCATTTTTAAATAAAAATATTTCAGTTTATATGCTAATTGGCTTCATTTATACTACTAGTTTATCCTTAGTTTATTGAAAAGAAAGATTTGTGTTATCTGTTTCTTTTTTGTATGAATCTTTTTGATTTATATCTTGTACCCTAAGTAGCTACTTTGAAGATAATGGTGTACACTGCAGTAACCATTGTTATTCTCTTATTACTTGATTATGAAATTTTTCTCATAGAAAAGCAAACACTTTGCATACATATTCTATAATCAAGTCTGGGGAGAAGTCTGTTTCAAAGTGGGGAGGTATTCTAACCACTTTATTATGCCCCTGAGGTCAGAAGCTGTGGCCTTTGGTAGTGTGTCATCATAAGTTTCTTACTTTATTTCAGGTGGGGAGCTTTTAGGTATAATGTTGTCACTACTTTGGAAGTTTAGGTTTAGTTTTGTCTATTCTTTAATGGAATTATGGAAAGCAAACTAGCAAAATCTCCAAACTAAAGAACTGTGAGCAAAGCATTCTGCAGTGGTTATGTTATTTTCTTTAGAATTGTTTATCTTCTGGGAGGAAGTCTACAGGTATTGGCTGCTTAGTTGATAGTTTGTTAATTTTTCTGTTTGCCCCAACAAGGTGAAGATCATCAAAGACATTAGTGAAAATACTCCTGAAGGTGTTATGTGACTCTCATACATAGATTAATACAGTTCAGGAATTTGGGAATCAAAGAATATGGCTTCTGTTGAATAAACTTGGGTAAAGCTTTTACTTTACAGCTCATTTCCTTCATCTCTAAAATGAGGCCATTAGGATCTATTTTTTGAAGTCATAAACTCAAAGCTTGTGAAATATTTCAAACACGGAAAATACATAATGCACATATATAATGCTTGTGAAATATTTCAAACACGGAAAATATATAATGCACATTTAATTCAAAATGCACAATCATGGAACTATCAACATATATCAGCTCTTAACATTTTTCATAATTGCTGACAAATTTTTCAAACATTTCTTGCAGTAGCTGAAGCCCCTGTGTATTTTTTCTTGGTCTAAGTCCTGTCCCTCTCTGATTTTTGTCTTCGCTGTTCCATGTTTCATGTACAGATGATAAAAAGTACGTTCTCATATTTTCACTCAATATTCAGATATCTTTAAATGATGGCACGATTTTGCATGTTTTTAGTCTCGATGTAAATAATTTTCATTATTTGTTACACTGAAGTTTGTCTTTTATACTCAGTACCACCCTTTAAGGTGCATCAGTGTGGCTGATGTACTTTAACTGCTATGAAGAGTTCCATTGGTTGTGCCTACCATAATTTATCAGTTTTCCAGCTGAAAGAAATTTACATTATTTCCAATTTTTACTGTTCCAATTAATGTCATGGTTGCAATTCTATGCATATATGTAAGTTTCTTGAGGGCAGCCTAACTCTTTAATTGTTTGATAGCAGTTCATGAACTGCAGCTGGTCAAAGGCATACACTTGGAAGGGCAGGTCTCCAGTGGTGTGGATTAGTAAATTGGCTTTAAATTAAATACAATTTCAGATTTGCGAGATATTCTCCAAATATTTGCCAATTTACTTTTCTCCGGCAATGTGTGAGATTCATACTGCTCCATATTCTTACCACCTTCTGGTATTTTAGACTTCTAAAGTTTCATTAACCATAGTATTTCTGGCATCTAGGAAAGCTGTTATTTCTCTTTCTCAGTTTTTTATTCGTATTACTGCATGTGAACAGAACATTATGATGATAGTCCCTGCTGAGAACTGGTGTGCACCCCACATTGTAGTTCTTTTCTCACCCTTCTCTCCCCTCCCTTCTCCCTTCCTTTCCCGGTCCCCTTTCTATTTGTGAAACAGCTAACTCCTTGTTTCCTATTTCATTTCTTTTATAAAATGATATTTTCTCTTTTCTTTGCCTCCATTGAAATAGTCACGTGCTTTTTATAAGTTGTTAAGTGTTTTGTTATATTCCTAGCTCTTACAAATATGCCTGCTTCACATTCATGAGTGTGGCCATAATGTTATCATGAGGTTTTTACATCAAAACTCCCGAAATTTTCTTTTTTCTTCTGTGCTGTCTGATTTTAGAAAAAAAATTGGAAAATGTTTTCTGTTTTCTTTTTTTTCCATTGGCATTAAAAGTTATCCTTGGAATTTGATGTACAAACTGCATAAGACAATCATAAGGCATGAGAATTACTCAGCTATAAAGAACGATAAACTCAAGGCTTTCATAAGGAAATGGATGCAACCAGAGACCATACTTATAAGTGAAATAAATCAGACCCACATATGTAAACATCGTAGTCTCCCTAGTGTAAGGAACTGGAAAAGTAAATAAAACCCAAAAAGTAGATATTGTGAAAGGGAATGAAACTGCTCAAAAGGAAAGAATAACTGGAATGGGGGAAAGGAGAACAGAAAGAAAGAAGGAAGGGGAAAAAAAAAAAGGATAGCTAAGATAATTGTATTACTGATTTCTATTGGTTTATGAAAGGAGCCATTAATGCATAATTTTTTTTCTTTTTGCCTAATTTTGCATGCTTATATCTGGTAATCTGAACAACTATTTTGAAGACAACAATATGCAATATACCAACCATTGTTGATTTCCTATCATCTTGTTCTGCAATTCTGTATTGTTTTTAATGTTTTAAAAAATTTTTTATTCTCCTTAAAATAAAAAAATAAATAAAACAAAAAGAAAATGGAAAAGAGCATAAACTGAAATTGAAGTATAAGTTAGGAACATAATGTGTCATATTTCAGTGAGTATTATTCAAAATTTATAAATTAGATGACCAGATGAATGAGTCTTAGTTTTGGTACAACTATCTAAAATATTTATTTCACATGAGGTTGGCAGCAGCTTTGTGTGTCATATAATTCAACCAACTACAGAAATTATATTCCCAAAATTATGTCACTGGCAAATTTAAACAGAATTATGGTCAACATAATCAACAACTTGTTTCAAGAGCATCAGAACAGATCATGCAGTTACTGCCTTTATAGGTGAGAAACTCGAAAACATAAGACTACTGTCTTGGCTTAAAGTTATTAGAGCAAACAAATATTTCTAACAATATAGTCAAAAGTAAGTATATTTTATTTCTCATAAACTTTAAAGATGTTCTTGTTTTACCAAGTGTTTTAGTAGGATAGTTCTACTTGAAAAGTACTTTAAGAATCCCCTGCTTTCTCTGTATTCAAGTAAAATATCTACATTAAAGAAAAAAAATCTAAAGAAAACTCAAAAAAAGAAAAAATCTTATAAATTTGTGTTAAACTAACTTTAAACAATTTTGTTTCCTGGATTTAATTTTTAAATTTGTTTTACTTTTTTTTTTTTGTGGTGCCGGCGATCAAACGCACGAGCTTACGCTTGCCAGGCAGGCACTTATGCCACTGAGCTATATCCCCAGCCTTGTTTTACTTTTTAATCACTTTTTAACTCAATAATAGTAGCACAACCTAAGACAGTTAATTCTATTTCTTAACAGGCTCTGTATTAATCAGCTCTTCCATTGCTGGATTAAGACACCCGATACGTGCAACTTAAAGGAGCGAAGGTTTATTTTGGCTCAGGTTTTCTGAGGTGTTAGTCCATAGTCAGTTGGCTCCAAGGCACGCACATCGGGGAGGAAGGACTCGGCAGAAGCTCAGCCCAGGGCGGCCAGGAAGGAGAGGTGGGGCGGAGAGAGGAGACACCTTCCAGGCACCTCTCCCACCTCCCGCGGTCTGTTTCTTCCAGCCAGACCCGGCTTCCTAAAAGCGCACTCAGGAATGAACTCAAGGATGAATCCACTGATGAGGTTCTTGTCCCACGATATCACCAGCTTCCCAAGGTGGACTGATGAAGTCTTTTGAGGGACGTTTTTGATCCAAATCATAATAGACTACAAAATGTAACATACTTTAGAAGCCATTTAAGTAGAAAAAATTTATAACAAAACAGGAAAGAACTTTTTATGAGATGCAGTGTAAAATAGTTATATCTTTTTCCAATAGTGGAAATGCTTAAATAACCTATACTAGAAAAAAAAAATGGTAACCACCATTTAAATCATTCGAATCCACCATATATAATGCAGTAGGTATATGTACCTTGTTGTGGATAGCTTCAATAAAAACTGTTAAAAATAGTTCCAAGTGCAGGAATACATGTACACATGAACAGAATTTTTCATTATATTAATATTTATTGTTCGGTCATGTGGATTAAGTTCATGAAGGGTAAATGAAAATGAATATTTTTCCTTACATAATCAAGACAAGTCTTACCATTAAAAAGAATATTTCAGGGGCTGATCAAAAACCTTCAGTACCAGCTTTGCAATTAATTCTAGGGCAATACCTTGAGACACGTTTTTATTTTACTTAAGTTCCTTGTCACTTTACTTTGCTTGAAACACGAGTTGCAGATATGCCAATAAATTGGTTTTCTTTTGTGACTTCTAAAAGATATGGATAACCTGCAAATATTATAGTACTTGGTCTATTTTGCCTACCTTTTTAACTGCTGTATAATTCAAAATATACAAGTGATTTATATATCTAAGCTGGTAGTACTATTAAATATGTTATAAAATTAGTTAAGAAGAAGAAAA